GAAATATACTATTATTTTTAGTCCTGTTAATGATGATTATAGAACAATGTGGTATAGTGGGAAGTGCCTTGGGCTGAGAGTCTGCAGATGTGTTTTCTTTGCTTAGCTTTGTGGTTGTGTGACCCTGGATGAGTTATTTTCTCTCTTTGGTCTTCACTTTGCTAATTTCTAACCAATTAATTGGGTCATTACCTATTAAAACCCTTCTAGCTCCAAGGTTCTATGATGGACAAATCATCAGTATTATATTGGAAGCACGGGGGTTTATTTGTTAAGAAGATATACTAACTTCCACCTTCTTCTTTTTGAGAACCTTTAATCTTTTCTCCTTTCACAGGACAAACATAGATTGGAAATAAGCTTTTCCCACTTCCCTACCCTGCACCCTTTTAGGCTTATCGTCTGCCTCTGGAAAAAGAGGGTTACATTTAATTTTAATATTCCCGCCTCATATTTTTCCTTTTTCTTAGGTTTGGAAATTGGACTTTTGATGATGTTTGACCCAGTGGCAGCAATAGCAGGAAACGTGATTTTAAAGCTGGGCTCAACTTCCGTTTCTTCTATCTTGTAATCACAAAGTACATTTGGAGCAGGAATTCCAATCATGTCTGTGATGGTGGTAAGAAAGAAGGTGACACGGAAATGGGAGAAACTCCCAGGCAGGAACACGTTCTGCTGTGATGGCCGCGTCATGATGGCCCGGCAAAAGGGTATCTTCTACTTGACCCTCTTCCTCATCCTGGGGACATGTACACTCTTCTTCGCCTTCGAGTGAGTACCTATTGAGTAGAGTTGCCTGACAATGATTATTTTGAATCTAGGGGAAGAATCTTTTTTCTGGGGAGCTTGTGGGAGGTGCTTGGATGGTTGTCACTGTCTTCTTGAACAGTGTCTATAGATCATGCCAACTGATTTCATTGCTTTATGCTCATAGCAGAGTATGTGTTGCCTAAAAAGACTGAGACCTTTGATGCCAATATTATAACGTTGATATGGGGCTACTCCTGGCACACTTGGGAAATAAAGGAATTTGTCTTTATTGCTCACCTCCCCCTTTCAGTAGTCTCCTTAGGTGCTTAGTTATAGACTGCCTATTCCCCACCCCTCCTAAGCTCAGTGGCACCCCTTGTGGTCATAACTCCACCCCACCATACTCACCTGTTCTGTTACTCTGGGTCCTATGGTTTTAGGGCTCAGCTCTGTATCTTGTAGCTAGCTGTGTACTTGAAAAGCCAGCTGAATAGGGAATCTGCAGATTGCTTCCAGCCTCAGCTATGCTGGAAACTAGCTGTGTGTGTGGCACATATGTGCTTATTAAGTGTGAGCTGCTCCTTCTTTTACTCTGAATCACTCAACATAAACAACTCTCTATTTTGTGTGTGTTTGATTACCATTTTTTCTGTGATGTAATAGCCAGTTGTAGAGCCACTGTTCAAAGTCTGTGTACACCACCTAGCTAGGGAGGTGGCTAGTTGGATTCTAGGGTACTGTCGCAGCACTGCTGATTGTACTGAGAATGCTGTACACTCTGGAGATGGGAGCAATATTAATTGGTTTGGAGTTATTATGAGAAGGGCCTTGAGGACCCAAGAAGTGTGCGTTGATTGCAAGCGACACCTGACTTGAGCCTGCTGTAGTTCATGTACATGGATAACCTGGAAGTGGAGTTCCTATGCTGTGGCAGGAAGCTCCTTGGCCAGCCTTCATGGATAGTTAAAATGAGCTCTGGACTCTTGGGGCTCATTTTTGTCCTTCTGTAAGGGCTTCAGGCTTTCCCGGTGCATCAAGAGAGATTTTTTTTAGTTGTTTTGCTAGACTTCTTGATGGTTGAAGCTGGCTTGAGTAATAGTGAAGAGAGGAAGGGGGCCCAATTTATAACAGGACTAAGAAAGTAAGGCCAGAAAAACTCTTTGTGAAAGGCACTTTTGCTGCCATCAACTTTGTGAGGTATTTGGCAAAGTCTGGCAGTTTGATCACAGTTTCTTAGCTGCTTTCCAATTTGAGTTTCATGGCTAAAGGTGTGTGTACACAACTGAGCACGTGCAGTTAGGTAGGCATATGCATAATGTCACAAAATTTTCCCCCTCTTTTGGCCTATCTTTCCAAGTTTTCTTTGCTTTATTCCTGCTTTTTTCCTTTTTGGAAGTGCAGAGCTGAACTTTGCTGTCTGTCATTCTTCCTTTTACTTCATCCCCTGCTGAATCACTAGCTTTTTTTGCCCACACCTCCATCCTTTTTGCCTTGGAGTTAATTTTTTTTGTGATTGAAATAATTCGAAACAGAAATGAGATTTGTTTCCAGACCCTAAGAGAGCTGGTAATTCTGAGCTCAAGATAGCTCTGGTTTGACTGGCCAAGGGAACTTGAAATTTGGAGCTATTGGTATTTGGCCCTTTTTGTTTCTGGGAGCCACACAGAGTCTGATTTGGATCTATAGCACTTAGACCTTGAAGGCTTCTGAAGAAAACTGCCTCTAGGATGAAGCTTATAATTAGCCAAGTTACAGTTTGACAGAGGCAGTTTGAATTTTCTACCAAGATGATTTTTCCCCCAAATTATTTCTCATGCTTTGCCCTCGGATATGAAGGATGAGGTTGTTTGTAAACTTCCCAGAATTCAAGCTGTCTGTGCGATAAATATTTTTAAGTTTATTTTTTATTTTTAAAAAATATTTTAAAATTTATTTTTAGAGAGTGGGGAAGAGAGGGAGAAAGAGAGGGAGAGCAGCATTGATGTGTAATTGCCTCTCGCGTGCCCCTTACTGAGGACCTGGCCTGCATCCCAGGCATGTGCCCTGACTGGGAATTGAACCGGTGACCCTTTGGTTTGCAGGCGGGTACTCAATCCACTCAGCCACATTAGTCAGGGCGTAATAAATATTTTTGAGGGGAGGGCTAGGGGAGGGAGAAGGGGGAGGAGAAGGAAGTAAATGTATTAGCCGAGGAGTGGAATGGGGAAGTATAACTCTGACCAAAGGGGAGAGGACCCTGGTGAGGAATCCTTTTCACTGTATTTGTGAATTGTGTGTTTATACGTGATATACAGACACACAGATACTCTAGGTGGTGACTGCCTTGTGTCTTCTTTGGAGTCTGTAATTTACTACCAACCACACAGTGGCAGATAGGGTCTGGAGACAGAATATGGGTTCCTTCATTAGTATTAGAACTCAGGGAGACCTCATAAAGTTAGCTGATCTAGTCCCCTCTCTTCAGGCAGGCGAGGGTGACAAAGGGCTGTTTATTTTCATCCTCAGACTATCTAGGAGCTGAGACTCCACTTCCGCTGGCTGCTGCATTTTTGCCTTGAGGAAGATAGTCTATATTCTGAGGCACATCTGGATCTGCATTTTAGTAACAGGGTCCTACCTGCAGGAGGTGCTTAAGAACAAGCGTGAGTTGATTTATGACTGCCCGTGGCACAGTCCTGAGTCGGCCAGATGGCTTGAGAAATCTGGTCAGGGATGTGGGTGCCCCTTGATGAAAAACATGCAGTGCTGGTAGTGTCAGTAGAAATCTTTTTATTTTTGGAGTTTGCCTTTGCACGTTTTGTCAAAGGAGGGGCCTGTAATTTTCAGTGGACAGACAGTAGCTTGAATGCATAGAATGAAAACATGTTTTTCATCCAGGAGTTAGTTAGCTCTGTATTGTTAGAAGTGTTTCTAAAGAAGCTGGGTGGCCATCTCTCAGGGCTGCTGTCACAGAATGGATTTTTGCCCGGGATGGGCAATTGGGCTAGATTGTCATTAAGCCTCTTGCAGCTCTATTGAAATTCTATATAACTCCTGTGTCTGTCTGGAAGAGTCAAATACACAAACATAGAAAAGGAGAGGCTAGAAAAGTATAGGTAGATAGCTATATTTAAATATGTTTATGTATTTAAGTATAATTATTTCTATGGTAAGTGTATTTGAATTTAAAACCAGTGAAAAATTGTATGGTGCTTAAAAAAAAGGATTTCCCAATTTATTCTTAGGATGAGATATCTAGGCAATGTGAGTACACCTGCCAGTTTCAGCTTTGAGCACGTGAACTCTTCTCAGTCCTTTTAGCCCAAACACTGTTCAGCTCATATGATGACCACATAGCCACCAGCTTGGCCAGAAATGTCAGGACACTAGAGCCAGAATGATGCTGGCAACCCGTGAGCTGTCCAGCAACTGAAAGGTGATTGTGGTATTTCTGTCCAGCTCCACTTCCTGCTAAAGCTTGGAGAAAGACCAAGTGCACTGTTTTCTGAAATCAGCTTCTTAGATGCCTCTTGTAACTGTGTGACTAGATTGCTAGTGGGTTCAAGGTCCCCAGACTTCTCTTGTGGCAAGAATGACTATGTGACTCTTCACCACTGAAGTAGAAGCAGTTTGCTGCTATTATAAGCACTTATGCCTCACTGTGCTGTATATAGAAGAAATCTTATCAAGGCACTATCAAACTTTATTGGACTGACCCTCATGGCTGCTTTTGATGTACAGAGGAGTCATTTACCTGGATGAACTGAAAAACACTTTGTAGCACTGCTTAGTACTTGTCCCACTTCCCTCCAAATTCTACCGCTCTTTCAAGTCCCTTCTTAAGCCCTCCTTTAGGAAATCTTTTTAGTAATTTCTGCATTTGTGGGACTAATTGTATTGTACGTACCACTCATTTAACATGTAATCATGTGACATTTCTCTTTTTTTGCCATTTCAAATGAGTTGGTTTAATTCCAACTCATTTCTGATACAGAAATGTGATACAGAATTTTGGAAGGAACAAAGACTGAAGAACACACTTTGACAGGATTCTGTCCTGGGTTTACTCTGACCGCACAATTAAGGTTGAAATGGCAGAGTGAGAAGAACTAAAGAGATGAGCCACTGCATGACTATTATAACTTTTTTTACAAAAGTTTATTCTTAAATGTACAACAACAGGCTCCAAGACAACACTTCATTCTAGCTATAGGTGGTAAGAGATGTTATGACAGGGAATCCAGATGTTAAAACAGGAATGGAATGAAGGATCACCACAGCCCCAGGCACAAGGAACAGCTCAGGAATTTTTTGCCAGATTTCTTAATTTTACCTGTGGGCAGGGGGCCCTTCTCCAAAGCCTTCACTTTTAGCTCCTCAAGTTTCTTCTGCCCCTCTCTTAGCTTCTGCTTGAATGCCTTGTCTTCCTCGTCCATCTCCTTGACCTGCTTCTTGGGCTGCTTCAGGCACTTCTTGCCACCTTTGTGGCTGGACATGGTACCTGCCACTCCTTCCCAAGACGTTGCCCTGATATTTCCTATATTTCTGAATTCTATGGTTATTGCACTTGGAACTCTTTCAATATCGGGGACTATTTTCCATGTCTGTGTGACCCCCACAGTGTCCTCCATCAGGCCTTATATAAAGTAGGTAGTCAGTAAATGTTACAGAATTAATACATCCTGGATGCAATTAAAATGTAACAGCCTTGAATCTTGACTCACAGGATCATAGAATAATAGAGGTAGAAGGTATCTTGGAGACTGTCTCCATCCTTTTAGCAGGTGAGGAAAGCAGGCTCACGTAAGCGAGGTTTCTTCATCAAGATCAATTAGCCTTTTGTTTCATTGTTAGCTTTTGAGTGTGGAATCCTGAAGATATTCAGATTACTAAAGCTGTACATAGTGCTGAATGCCAGAACAGCATATATCTGGTTATTGGTAGCTAGTGTTTGTTACCTAGTGGCATCTAGGTTATTTGGGCTTCCCCAGCTCAGGCTCCTAGAAAATGAACTTGTCTTTGTGAAATTTTGACAGAATTCTGGCATGATATTCTGATAGCCTTGCAGGATTAGGGAAGCCTATCTCTAAGGGTGGACCTAGAAAGTAACTTTTGTGAGTTCTGAGGGGTTATCACCTCATGACCATTCCTAAGACCTGCTGCCAGGATGAGGATGGCTCAGAGAAAAATTTAAGCAATGCAGTTCTCCCTACTTTGTTACTCTGTGGGTGATCCTGATTAAAGGGACACCATGTCCTGAGGAAAAAAAATGGAAGAGAAAATGCAATCTGATAACAAAAAGTTACCAGGTTTGAGGAGACACAGGGCTATGCAAACCAAAGCCAAACTCTGGCATGACAGAATATCTGTGTTTGTAGTGCAAGGCCCAGGTTCCTGAAGTTTCTTAGGTGAGATTGGGAAGAGGACAAAGTGACTTTATCATGATCTATAACCAAGAGAACATTTTCTTTTTCTTTTTTTATGAAGAAATCTCTCTTTTAAAAAAAATATTTTATTTATTTGTTTATTTTTAGAGGGGCAAGAGAGGGAGAAAGAGAGACAGAAAGAAACATCAATGTGTGGTTGCTGGGGGTCATGGCCTGCAACCCAGGCATGTACCTTGACTGGGAATAGAACCTGCGACATTTTGGTTAGCAGCCCACACTCAATCCACTGAGCTACGCCAGCCAGGGCTCCAAGAAAACAGTTTCTAGAGAATTGATTTGTAGGAGTTCAGTATTGCGCTTCATCTAGCCTAAGATTCTGTTTGTGACTTGGCCAACCAAATGACAGTTTTAGAAAGGAATATTTGCCTCTTTGTTATCAATTTGTTATTGTTCTTAGCTAAGCTCAACTTCCTGATAAAGCACATTCCTAGAGAATGGTTGGGTTATGTTTCCCAAATAGTGTGCTTTCCTTTAACAATTCCTTGTGGTTCTGTCATTCAGAATTTATCTGTATATTTCAGCCTCTACTACTTTTAGTGGTAATGAATTTCACGCTGTCAATCCCCATTGAATGCATCTCCTATCTTTTCAGAATGAGTCTTAATTGAGTGTAGTGATTTTCTATTTTGGATAAAGTGAACACAAAGAACAGGGGTGTCCCCCAACATGCTGAAGTCAGTTGAGGTGTTTATTGAGGGAGGGAGGAGACCTCCTAAATCTTTCCCCTTAGAGGATATTGTGTTTAAGAACAAAGGAGGCACCTTATGCCTCTTGCAACAGCAAGAAGCTAGTGAATTCAGGGTAATTAGGAGGATACTTCTAGAATGGAGCAATGAGAAGACAAGAATCTTATGATGTTGATTAGATATGACCAGTTGATGGAGGGTCTTGGAATACTGACCTGTGGAGTTTGGGGCTTAATATAATAGGCAACAGGAAATTGTTATAAGTTCTTGAGCAGGAGTATATTAAAATTGAAATTTGTTATAATTCAAATGTTAAATTTGTTATTATAACTAAAATTTGGTGACTACTTAGCAGGTTTGAATGGGGACTTTGGCCGCCTTCAGTAAGAGGATGGCTCATTGCCTCAGAATTGAAAACATCCTCTTTGGTTAATTTTCCCTGTTGCTACTGGAGCAAAATAGGGTTATGCATTTTACTCTGACCTTCACATAGCAATAAATCTGGAGGCTGGTTTTAAATTATGTTTTCACTATCCAAAGAAACTTATCCCTCAACAGACTCTAAGCGCCATCAGAAGAAACTTGAACCAGTCTCATGGGTAGTTCTATATGTTTAGTGTACCCTAGAGGTAGTCAGTATGTAAGAGGACAGACAGCTGTCCATATCAGGAAGGACTTATAGCAGAAGCTTATTTCTATTACATGGGACCAAGGGCCATTGTGGGGCTTTCTGTAATCCTCAGGTGCTTCCTGCTGTTGCAAGCACAGCTATTCCTTAAAGTCACCCTTAATAGCTGCTTTGGGAGCAGTTTCAATCAGCCACCAGCTTCCCAAGAGAGCTCTTCTGTAACCATTTATAGTCCTTAGAGTCTGAAATACTATTTTAACATGGGTTATTAGTCTTCTCTTATTCTTTAGCTGTTTTATATGTTAGTTATGTTTTCCACAACAAAATTAACTCCCATTTCTCTTGTTCCGCATTTGTTAGACCCATAAATGTTGATTGAGTGTACTGATCAACGGGAACAACAAAAAAACGTACCAAGAAAGCTATTAGGGAGACTTAGAAGCAGAGTATTATATAGATAATCGGTCCATGCTGCCAGTCTGTGAGGCAGAACCCTGCCATGGAATCTGTCTGGTTCCTTACTGGTTCCATTCATGAATCTCTTTTGATTTTTTTTCATGTGAATTGAAGTCCATGTCATTATCATTGTCCCTCCAATGAAGTAGCATGCTAAGGATGGGGGATGGTACATGACACACCAGCCCAGCCTGGCACTGCTGGTTACTGCTGGTCAGTACCACCATGTGGTCTGTGGCAGATGTGAGAGTCAAGTCTTCAAGCCCAGCTATTTCCTGAGGCCAATCAAGAAGTTGGTAGAAAAGGACTTAAAAGGATGATGCCTCTTCAGGTGGCAGAAATGAAGACTTAGTGGAGGACATGGTTATACATATGAAATTCATAAGAGAGAAAAGCAACTTCTAAGCCCCTAGAAAGGAGAAAGCCTCTTGAAACTTTGAAGACAAAGGAGAGCTCTGTTTCCAGAAGTGTATGGATGTCATTATTCCAAGAGGTGATACTGATGGAAAGTACTAGGGAGTCTCAAAACCAGTTAGCTTATATTTGTGAATGTCAGATCGGTTTTTTTAATACAAATTAGTGATGTTTCAGGATATTCCTGACTTTTGAGGTTGATGTTGGGAAATTACTACCAAATCTTCACATAGCTTATTCCTGTCACAGATAAATCTCTAGCTTACTGCCATGATGTGACTAACCTAGGGAGATATTTTTGATTATAACTATTAAAGACAGGCATGATGGGTTGTAGTTCAAAACAGTCTTAGCTGCTGGCTCTCTAAGTTTCTCCTTAGTCAGAGTAGAAAGGCCTGCTGGTTCCACATCTGCCTTCCCAGCCACATTCACTAGTGACAACTGGCTGCTAGTAGCCTCATCTCTGGAGAATAATACAATGGGCCTGTTGTGTACTTGTTGACATACAAAGTGGATTGTTTTAGCAGGTGCAGAAGATAGTCTGTGTGGAGATTACAGAGACCTTTATCTGTGATGGTGTAGCGTAATTCAAATCTAAGTTGTTCTTTGTCTGATTGACAAGCAGCTGTTGGAAGGGGACTTAGTTAAACTAAGTTGGGTGAGTTCTTTGCATGAGGGCAACATTAATTTTGTGTGTGTGCATGGGCGACAGTGTGTGTATGTGTGTGTTTGTTCTACTCTCTCTGTAGCTTTTCCTTATAATAAAACAATTTAAACTTTTGATGTCCAATCAGATGGCTCTCAGGTGGAGACTGTACACCATGGCAGTTTGAGTCCTAGAGACATTACTTCTTTGTTTTCAAGAATAATCTTAGGAAGATAGCTGATTTCTGTTAGTGTGGTGATTTCACTTGGCTTGTTCATGAAATGGAGACTTGTGTTTCTCCTGTGGTCTTTGTGCCCCTGACAAGTGGGGATGACTTTCATTTCTGAATTTAATTCTTGATTATCTGTACCAGTGAAGGGGAACAGTGCAAGATACTCCACAAGCTTGTGATACTCGAAAGACCTTAATTACCCTGAATTCATTTGGCCAGATCCTTGAGTTCTCCAAATATTTCCCCTTACCCTTGGTGTTTAGAAGAAAGTACATCATACAAAAGCAACCAACAATTGTTTAAAAAATATAAGCAGGCAAACAAACAAAAAGCCACAAAAATCATTTTGCAAGTTCACTACATATGTTCATCTTCGTGGCAAATGGCTCAACCTAACATTACAGTTGGTTTGCCACCTACCCTGTGGAGTTGTGTGTGTGGCAGGGATCAGGGGAGGATCATGTGGGGGTGTACAAAGTGCAGTGTGTGTACAACCTGTGATTAAATGTTTGCTCAGAATGGCTTGATCCCCATGCCAATGAAGTAAGACTTGTTCCTTAGCTTACTTTCTCTGCTCTCCCTCTGGCCCTTGTTTATCTACTTATAGTCTGCCTTCAAGAGGATATCTCTTCGTAGGTCAGTGATAACTGTCATCACATGCTCCAGTTTATTTGGTTTGAAATTCAGTTTTACTCAACAAGTATTTGTTGATAGCTTCTTTATTCCCAAACTTGTATTAGGCTCTTGGAGATAAAGAACCATGATGATAATGTTAGTAGTTGACATTTACTTAGCATTTACTCTGCGTCAAGTGCAGTTCTAAGCACTTTATTTATATTCATGCATTTGGTCCACAGAATGACCCCATGAAGTACCATTATTATCCTCATTTCACAGGTAAGGGGACTGAAGTTAACTAATTTACCCAACTAGAAGTTGGTAGAGCCAAAATTTAAACCCACACATTCCTTCCACAAAAAGACAAGG